AAAGTAGAATTAATGTGTGACTTTAAAATTAAAATTATAGCAACTTTTGAAGTACTTTAATTTAGTAAAAACTACCTAAATAAAATGTTAAGTACTTTAAATGATTGAACTACTATTTCTTCCTACAAATATAAATTGAAAATAAGAAAATGTGACTTTAACTATAATGACAATTAACTAGTTTATTGAAGTAGAGTTGTTTTAACAATTAATGAGAATACTAATGAAGTAAATAACTAGTATAATGAAAAATGTAACAACAATGCTAATTAACTAATTAACTAGTATAATGACAAATGTAACAAGAATGCTAATAAACTAATTAACTAGTATAATGAAAAATGTAACAATAATGGTAATGAACTAATTAACTAGTATAATGAAAAATGTAACAAGAATGCTAATTAACTAATTAACTAGTATAATACTACTTATAGTAAGTAATATATAATATAATGTTTATAGTATATAATATATAAGTATACTACTATAAGATGAGTAATACACTTATATTTTATACTTTATATAAAGTATATATTAAGTAGATGTAGAATGTATGTATTAAGTGGATATAATAAGTGTATAAGAATTAAATATTAGAGTATAATGGAGAATTGGAGATTGGAAAATAAGAAAATAAGTATATATAAAATATAAGTAGAGAAGTAGATATAATTATGTATTAAGTATATAGTAATAGTTTATAAAGTATATTTAATACTTTATTATATAAAGTATATATTAAGTAGATGTAGTATGTATGTATGTATGTATTAAGAGATATAAGTAGAGATTAAGTAGATAAGAAATATAAGTAATATAGTATATGTACTTATAAGTAGATAATTAATATATAAGTAGATATAATAATTGTATAAGTATTAAATAGTAAAATAAAATATAAAGGAGAATAAGAGAATTTGAGAAGATGAATATGGAGAATTGGAGATGAGTAGAGAGTAGGATTTAGGTAGAGTTGGAGAAGAGGTGTGAAAAAATGTTTCAAATTAGGAGTATTTTATAGGTTTTTTTTAACCCACAACCCCCCCACCCCCCAAAGGCCCCGGACCCCCCTGGTACCCACCCAATGGCTATATAGCCGTTTGGGAAGTGGCTGTTGAGCCAAAAACGTTTTTTAAAATTAAAAGATTTTTTAAAAAAAAAATAGGACCGTTAGGCCCGGGCCCGGGCCCGACCCGGCCGGGCCGGGCCACCAAAACCAACACCCGAGCCCGGACCTGCCACCCCCACTGGTTCGATGCCCGAACCGACCCGGACCCGAGAACCGGGCCGGTTCTGGGCCCGTACAGTAACGGGCCGGGCGGCCCGAACCGGGTCCAAGCCTAATTTTAGTTGAAGATGAACTGAAATTAGTTCCTAGAACAGGCTCAATCAGGTTGCGGTTCTAGTTCCCCAGGTTCTGGTTTTTTGAGTTTTTGATGAAAAAATAGTTACAAAATCAGATCACAATCGGTTTTGAAACTTGTTCGGTATGGGTTCAAGGCCAGACTGTATGTCTGTATCCATAAATTCCAGCCCTAGTCATGGGTAGGTAGGGATGGGCCGGGCTCGGGTTGACTGGCACGACCCGACACTATTTTGAACCGGCTTGAACAGGTTGGCTGGGACTGGGCCTTGGGCCCAACCCGGGAGGGGTTTTGGGTCGGGTCACGGGCTAGAGTCCAGGCCCAATTTTTTTTTTAATTTTTTCAAATGGGTCGGGTGGTAGACAGGTTGGGCTGGGTGGTTTGGGGGTGGGAGGGGTTGGTAGGAACAAATAAGGGAAACCAAAAAATATATAAGACCAGACTCGGGCCAGTATCGGGCCCCATGCCCAAAAAATTTGACCCGCCCAAGACTTGATCCGGACCCGGTCCACCCTTATGGGTAGGGAAGGCGAAGAACGTGAATCAGCCGCTTTAGAGCCCTAGTCTGACGTTGATATGGCAAAAAAAGGCCTTGTGTAATTGGGGGGGGGGGGGGGGTGTTTATGTATGGCTCTTGAATTTTAAAATGTGATCATCTCATTCTTCACTTAAAATTTAAAATTAATATAATCAAAGAGTTTATATTTAAATTGAATTTTTTATTCTTCAAATATTCGAATGTTCTTTTGATCTTCAAGTATGTGTTCTTGAGATGTTCGATTCTTTGAATCTTTGAATCTTCACTCTTTAGATCTTTAAATCATGGATCTCCCTTCTTCGGATCTTGAAATCGTTCATCCTTCATTCACTAGATTTTCAAATCTCCATAGCTTTATCCTTTGAATCTTTGAATGCTCTTGAATGTAGAATTCTATTTGAGGGGGGATTCAGTCTTCAAAAAGCTCAATTTTCAACAAAAGAATCATTTCATGGCTTGATCTTTTGTTAAAAGATTTTTTTGGATTTATGACTTGATTTCCAATTCAATCTAAATTCACTCTAAATATGAAGTTCTTCAAATCTTCGAAGACTCTTCTTTCAGATCTTCAAACTTTAAAGGATTCATTTTTCAGATCTCCGAATGTTTTTCAAAACTTGGACTTATTTTTTCAAAAAGGGACAAAATCACAATGTATTACTTGTACATTGTTAATAATATTCGTGGTTTGATTTCTTCTAGCTTCTTGTGCATTCTTTAGAGCCTCTCGAAAATTCTGTAGAACTTCATTTGACAAAGCTCTTGACACAAGAGAATTTGACAGTCTCAGTTAAATGTTTTTGTATTTAAATGTTGAATGTTTGAAAATTCTGTAAAAAATACCCGACGGGTAACGGGGCGGTTCGGGGTCGGGTATACCATTACCCGTACCCGCCCCGTTTGATAAAAAAATTCCCCGAAATCGCCCCGTTACCCGTCGGGTATTTTTTACTCGCGGGTAACGGTTTTCCCCGCGGGTAACCGTTTTATTAAAAAATAATTTTTTTTTCCTTCAAAACTAGTATAGATCCTAAAATGATTATTAACTACTTATCATTGACCACCTAAATTAAAAAAAATTAAAATTAAATAGTACCACAGATAAAGTTTTTAAAAACATGACAAAAAGTTACAATCGTTTGAATCTAATATTCACAAATTATATATGTATAGATTCAAATTGAATCTCTTACCACATCAACATCAAAAGAGTAAGTCTTGTCTCGATAGTAAAAACTAAATATGAATCACAAAAACATTTAACTTCCAAACATTCAATAAGCATACCCCCACCAACATTCAACATCTAAATTAATTTAAGAACAATAATGTATACAAGTAATATAATGAAAATATGAAGTTTTTCCCCTAAAATACCTCTAATAAAAAAGATATGAACATAAATATGACTATAAGTTACCATGAGTAAGTTTTGTAATCACTACGACATAACATTTGAATAAAATTATAAACACTAAAGTTACTAGAGTCGCATTTTTGTCCACAACTTTTATTTTGATTATAGATTTGGAATTATTTAAAAGGCGCTTCTAATACTATGATTTAGGTATTCTTGTAGTTACTGTTTTAGAAAAAAAAACATAATTTAAATTTTAAAACTTGATATAAATTAGAGCAACCAATCAAAATTAATCTAATCATACAATACACCTTTACAAAATTATTAGCAATTACATAAATTAAAGCAAGCTAGAGTAATGTTTCGCAATATTTTGACTTTAAACTCATACGTGAGTTTTATGAAAGTTATTGGGTGAAAAACTAAGAGAGTCACAATGTGGAAATTGCGTAAAGAAAGTCACGAAAATCAAATAATCAATATGTGAAGAAAATAAATATTGTAGAGGTTTTTTTTGAAGGAATATATAGAAGTTAACAAAGGAAGGATGATGAATGATATTGAAAATTTAAAATCTAAAATAGTGAACTTTGAGCACCAACTCGATCATCAGAATTGAAAAGGATAGCCGATAAGTTGAATATTGTTTCAAAGTACTAGAGAGAATAAGTGTCATATACTAATGTACTAATATTCATATATACTTAATATATTAAATAATAAATACATAAACTATTAAAATATACTCCCTCCGTCCCATTTATATTGTCCCGGAAGAGGGTGGCACGGTTATTAAGAAAAGTGGGTTTGTGTGGTTGATATTAACCGATAAAGTAAGAATAAAGTAAGAATGATTTAGAGTCACACAAACTTTGCCAAATATGGTATGGGACAATATAAGTGGGACTTCCCGAAAAGGTAAAACGGGACAAAATAAATGGGACGGAGGGAGTATAAGTTAATTGTGCGGGTCGGGTAATGGTGTGGGTAACCGTATCCAAATTAAACGGGACGGGTAACGGGGCGGGTAGGTATAAACCCATAACCGCCCCATTACCCGTTTACATAAATCGGGTATTCCCCGCCCCGTACCCGTTACCCAGTCAAAACGGTTTTCCCCATTTTGACCGGTTCGGTTCGGTGCGGGTATCCATCGGGTCGGGTTAAATCGCCATCCCTACTTACGTATCTATCATTGGGCTTGAAATAGAATTTTTGATAGGGCCGACCCATTACTTTAAGAACTCAATTTATAATTAAATTAATTGACATCTTAGATAATTCAAATTAACTAAATCATTAAATTTTATCTCAAGATATCCATATCACTATTTTTCTTTTGATAAGACCCAAAAACCATCATGAATGATTTAATATAATTGAAATTGATCCATTAACAATTAAATGAGACCCAATGAGATCGAGAATAATCCGGTAGTATTTAAGGAGACTCAATAAATTGGTGATTTATGAACTCATGATCCACTAATTTTCACATTTGTAATGAGTCGTTCATATGTTCCACTAATTTGTCTCTTTTATGCCTATCTCTGTTGAATCTTCTGTGCTCCGTTAGTTTGGTATTCAGTAATTAATTATGGTATTCATTATATAGCATATACAGAATAATGAGGTGAAGTTTGTACAATGCAAATTGATCCCTTATAATTCTCTATTGCAATTTAAGCTATGATAAAATCTATTCTAAATATTTGAGTAATATTAATACTAAACATCGAAGAGAGAATTTGATAGGAGAATAGTGTAAACTTCATGATTTATTATTGAGGCATACACATGTATATATACTATACGTATTACAAAGAGAAGAGGAAAAGTTTGCATGTGATTGCATGGCCCATGCCATGCCAACTAACAACAGTAATAAAATATTATATAAATATTAAATATCTCAATACTCCCCCTCAAGGTGGAGTGTGAAGATTACGAACACCCAACTTGCTTTTGAGAAACTGAAAACGATCGGTGCCAAGTGCTTTGGTGAAAATGTCAGCCACTTGATTGACTGTGGAAATAGAAACCGGCTCAATCTCTTTGCTAGCAACTCTTTCTCTTACAAAATAGCAATCCATTTCAACATGCTTTGTACGTTCATGGAATACTGGATTTAATGCTATGTGACGTGCTGCTTGATTATCACAGTAAAGAGGTGTTGCATTTGTTTGATCAATTGTAAGATCCCGAAGTAACCAACGCAACCACAATATCTCGCTCACTGTCATTGCCATGGCGCGATATTCTGCTTCAGCAGAAGAGCGTGAAACAACAGACTGTTTCTTTGTTCGCCAAGATATAGGCGAATTTCCAAGAGAAATAAAATATCCAGTACTGGAGCGACGAGTGAAAGAGCAGCCAGCCCAGTCCGCATCACAATATCCTTTTAAGTTGAAATCGTCATCAGATGATAAAAATATTCCTTGACCAGGTGTTTGTTTCAGATAGCGTAATACGCGAATGGCAGCATCGAGGTGACTTTGTCGTGGATGACTGAGGAATTGGCTAAGCTGACTGACAGGATAAACAATATCTGGACGGGTTACAGTGAGATATAATAGGCGCCCAATCAGTCGACGGTAAGAAGATGCGTCTACTAGTTGGCTATCATCGTCTGGACGAAGTTTTAGGTTTTGTTCCATGGGAAACAAACTGGGACGGCCCGCTAAGAGGCCACTTTCTTTTAGGATATCAAGGGTATACTTTCTTTGGCTTAAGACAAAACCCTCTGGAGAGCGAGCAACTTCAATGCCAAGAAAGTATTTCAATTTGCCTAAATCCTTGATGCTAAACTTGTTGTTTAGATAACCCTTAATGGAAGAAATATGGGAGACATCATTTCCAGCTAAGATGACGTCATCAACATAAATTAGAGCAAAGGTTGTGACGAGACCTTGGCGAAAAATGAATAGAGAGTGATCTGCTCGGGATTGGCGAAACCCTATCCCATTGAGAGCTTGAGTAAATTTGTGATACCAATTGCGCGAAGCCTGTCGTAGTCCATATAGAGATTTTTGTAATTTGCAAACACGATTGTCACCCTTTTTCATGAATCCTTGGGGAATGCGCATATAGACATCCTCAGATAGATCACCATGGAGGAAAGCATTATTTACATCTAATTGGTGTACAACCCAATTACGCTTAGCTGCCACGGCTAGCATGCATCGCACCGTGACAAGTTTGGCAACCGGTGCAAAAGTTTCGTGAAAATCAACTCCTTCAACTTGAGTGAAACCCCTAGCTACCAATCTAGCTTTGTAGCGTTCTACTTCGCCATTTGGTTTATATTTAATTTTGTAAACCCATTTGGAGTCCACAATTCTTTTCCCGGCAGGTAAATTTACCAAAATCCAAGTCTGATTTTCTTCCAAGGCAGTAATCTCCTTTTGCATGGCCTCTCGCCATAAGGGGTCCTGTACAGCTTGGGAAAAATATTTAGGCTCATCACGTGAAGTGATGGCCGCTAAAAAAGCTTTATGAGTGAGAGAAAATTTTTCATAATTAACGAAATTGGAAAGAGGATATACCGTTGAGTCCGCTGAATTGGCCGTGGGTGGTGAATGATTAAGTGAGGGGGGCAAATCAATTTCGTAATTTTCCAGATGCTTGGGAAATTTCCGAATTCTAGTCTGCCTTTGTGGTTCAAAATAGGGTGTAATGCCTGGTGTCACCGTTTGTTGATTAGGTGGTCCCATGGTATTTGTCCCTTGTACAGAAACATCACCATCAGCACAAATTATTGGGGAAGGCAGCCCATGCATTGCATTATTTTGTGCTTGTCCGTAAGATACATGTGTATCCAAATATTGACTAGATGAATTGAGATCATTGTCCACTTCTGTTGATGGACGTTTGTGTGCAGTAGCCGGCGGGTGGTGAGCAGTCTCGGTCGGTTGTCCATCCGAAGTAGTCGACTCGATCAACTGTTGGCATGATGATGATGATGGTGGCTCATGATGATGATGTGGGTCAAGTTGCATCAATTCCACACTCTTGCAATTTTGCTGAGCAAACGAAGGCTGTTCATCTTCACTAAATGACCGAACAACAGGTCTCGTAATATGTTCTCGGTCTTGTACACTTTGATCCTCATATCCCAAAATGTGATGATAAACCTTGTCAATAATTGCTGAAAAATCAAGGTCATCATCAAGAGTAATTTTAAAAGGGAATTTTTCTTCGTAAAAGGTGACATCTCGGGAACTATAAACACTACGTTTTTCCAAATCGTAGACCCGATAAGCCTTTTGACCATATGCGTACCCAATAAATATACACGGACTCCCCTTTTCGCCAAATTTATCTTTTCGCTTATTATCATGTGTATATATGAGACATCCAAATACCCGCAAATGATCATAACTAGGGATCTTTCCAAACAACATTTCATAAGGACTTTTGTTAAAAATAACGGGTGAGGGAAGTCTATTAATAATATAAGCAGCAGTCAAGATGCACTCTCCCCAAAAATCAATCGGTAACCCAGACTGAAAACGTAAGGCCCTTGCAATTTCCAATATGTGTCTATGTTTACGTTCCACAACTCCATTTTGTTGTGGTGTGTCTGTGCAAGACGTCTCGAGTAATATCCCAGTGCGTCCATAATAATCAAATAAAACATTGGTTTGAAACTCTACGCCATTATCAGCTCGTATTCGTTTGACTTTTTGCTCAAATTGGGTAGCAACCATGTTGCAAAATTGGATTAAAAATTGAGAAACTTCAGATTTATTTTTCATTAAATAAACCCACACACCTCTGGTAAAATCATCAACAATAGATAGAAAATACCGTGCACCGGAGATTGAATCGCATCGATAACCTCCCCAAATATCGCAATGTATCAATTCAAAACAACGAGTTGTCTTAATGGAGCTTGTAGAAAAGGGTAGTCTAGTCTGCTTAGCCCGGACGCACGGATCGCAAAAATTATCACTTCGACGAAATCCTTTGAGAGAACTAATGTGATGAATTTTTCCATCAGATGCATGTCCCAAACGTTGATGCCACAAATCGGAAGTAACAGAGACCGACATTGCCGCCCCCTCACTTATCGGAAAATCCATATAATAGAGTCCATTGCAGAATTTACCCACGCCAATTAGCTTCCTCGAGGGTATGTCCTGCAAAATACAGAAGTCTGAAAAAAATGTCAATGTACAATTTAGATCGCTTGTGAGGCGACTAACTGAAAGTAAATTGCACTGGAACTTTGGGATGTATAGGACACGCCGAAGATACAATCCATTTGGTAAGTACAAGCTACCGGCAGCATGAACCGGAACAGATTCCCCATTTGGAATTTTGACTGATCGTTCAGGAGGGGTGCTCAATACATCAATAAGATTTCTATCAGTACAAGTAATATGTTCCGTTGCACCAGAATCAATTATCCAAGAATCGATATGTGACAATACTCCTGTCATATTAACTTGAGGCATAGACTCCATCATTATGTTGCTAACTTTATGGCTGGCTTCAATGGTTTCATCACCAATCTCCATAGCCTAGCTAGAGGGAAAAAAATATATGGAAGGATAAAAATCTAGAAATCTTGTTTTCAGGATTTTGGCTCTGATACCATGATAAAATCTATTCTAAATATTTGAGTAATATTAATACTAAACATCGAAGAGAGAATTTGATAGGAGAATAGTGTAAACTTCATGATTTATTATTGAGGCATACACATGTATATATACTATACGTATTACAAAGAGAAGAGGAAAAGTTTGCATGTGATTGCATGACCCATGCCATGCCAACTAACAACAGTAATAAAATATTATATAAATATTAAATATCTCAATAAGCTATAGAAGCTGTGAAAGTTGTATTCACACGATGTTTGACCAAATTATTTTTTACCTATAGTTATTCACTCCTATGAAGATCTTATGGTCCATAATTATAGTCTACTCTGTGTTATCTATTGAAAACTATTTTATAATTATAAAGTGATATTTTTGTGCATAAAACAATTTCACTTCATGTTAAAATGTATCTTATGAGAAACAAATTAAATGGTATATTTGACACCAGGATGTTCATCAGGTCTCCTTTGAGATAAAGACCATCCAATGATGAATACTTATTATTGCTGATGAATCTCATGAGTTGAATCTTACAGGCTAAAATTGAGCTCAAGAGTTACAAAGATGCAAAACAAAGGCCATTACTTGGGCGGCAAAGGTAATGGCGGTGTTTGGCAATTGGCTGTTGGCGATTGACTGTTAGCTGATTGTGTCAGCTGATTGATGACAGCGTTTTCTGTTGGCTCTTTTGATTGGCTGATATTATTGGCTTTTTGTAAATTAGTGTTTGGTAAGAATGACTGTTTACGCTCAGCTGATAACTTGTAAAATGACCTATAAGGACATCAATTAATTATTAGTTGTTATGTTTTTTTGTCGTCATACATTTTGTTATGTTATTAGTACGTACAATTAATTACTTAAAACATTTGAATGATTTAGAAAAGAAATGCTTAATTACACAAATAATAATTCTTTTAAACAATTTTTCATGTATTAATAAATATTTCAAGAGTTTGACCAACATTTCAATAGTTTAGAGTTTTGCACTTTTATCAATGGGATGCACTTCTACTGTTTGGCAACACTATTTTTCGGCTTATCAGGCTTATCAGCCAACTTTTTCACCAAACACGTATCTTTTGCTTTCGCGTGCTGAATTGTGTAATCAGCAGAATCAGCCAAAACAGTCGATTTTCATGCTACCAAACGGGCTCTACAATTTTGATCACTTTAAAATATGATACGAGTAGATCAAATAAAGGTTTCTAGTAATGTACTTCCTCCGTTCTTTTTTAATTACAACAGTCAACATTTCACGTTTGCCAACGCACAAGTTTGACCATGAATATCTTTCATTCCTTATTAGTAACAAATTTAAAAAAATCATATTTTGAAAATTTAGAATGAGAAAAATTTAACAATATTTTTTATAAATTTAATTTACAATACATTAATTAATAAAGGAAAAAAGGTCACATAAGTCCCTGTACTATTGTGAAAAAGTCATCTAAGCCCATGTACTAAAAAATGATCACATAGATACATTTACTACTATAAATCAATCAAACAAGTCCATTGACCTGAAACTAACCTGCTATCACAGGTGAGGGGCATTTTTTTATTTTTCTTTTTCTTCTCTGGCTTCACGCTTCAGGCATCCGGTCTTTTTCTTTCCTTTTCTTTTCTTTCTTGTTTCCTTATTGTAACCATCTTGTATTTTTGTTGCATGTGGACAATCGTTTTTTCCCTTCTTTCAGCTATCTTTCAATTGCTAACATTTTTTGATCATTTACTTTTCTTTTTTTTTTTGCCCCCTTATTTTTGTTTTCTATTGTAGCTTTCCCTAAGAAATTATTGTTTTGACATTTCTTTCTAATTTCCCTAGGAAAGATGCCAATTGTTACTAAAGGTTCTTTTATATAAGAGAAATTTCACTTTCAGCTTTTTAATTATTGCTCATATTGATATATAGTCCTCGCTTTTAATAAACACAATTAATTTTTATAACTTTAAAACAATTAACGCAATAACTTTATACACAACAGAAAATCACACTTTCCTACACAATTTTAAAATCTACCGCACTTGTTTTTTGTTAGAATTAATTATACTTTTAATCCTATGAGTTTTATGTAATTCCACATTTCGTTCACGTCTTTCACTTTGTCCATTTCTATATTTGCATATACGGGAACGTACGGTACGGGTATCCTAAAGTACCCTAGAGTATACGGTACTCTAGCGAAGTACCAGGAACGTACGGTACAGGTATACGGGCCCGGGAACGTACGGTACGGGTATATCCTAGAGTGTCGGATACGGGAACGTTTCCAATACGCCGATACGTCACCTTAGCGAAGTATCCGTGCTTCATAGTATTTGACTAATGTTTCTTGACCATTTTAGTCTGTTATCGGTGATATTTGACTAATGTTTCTTGACCATTTTAGAGCCCGTTTTGCAGCACAAAAATCGGGTGTAGGGTAAAATAGCTAAAATGGTCATTTACAGTAACTTCGCTAGGGTGACGTATATGGTCAAGAAACATTAGTCAAATGTCACCGATAACAGACTAAAATGGTCAAGAAACATTAGTCAAATATAAAAAATGGACAAAGTGAAAGACGTGAATGGAATGTGGAATTACATAAAACTCATAGGACCAAAAGTAGAATTAATTCCAACAAAATTAAGTGCGGTAGATTTTGAAATTGTGTAGGAAAGTGTGTTTTTTATTGCGTATAAAGTTACTGCGTTAATTGTATCAAAGTTATAAAAATTTACTGTGTTTATTAATTAAAAGCGAGGACTAGATTTCAATATGAGCAATAATTAAAAAGTGAAAATTTTCTTAAATAAAAGAACCTTTAGTAACAATTGGCATCTTTCCTAGGGAAATTAGAAAGAAATGTCAAAACAATAATTTTTTAGGGGAAGCTACAAATAGAAAACAAAAATAAGGGGGCAAAAGAAAAAGAAAAGTAAATAAAAAATGTTAGCAATTGAACGACGGCTGAAATAAGGGAATAAACGATTCTCCACATGCAACAAAAATACAAGATGGTTACAATTAGGAAACAAGAAAGAAAAGAAAACGCAAGAAAAAAACCGGATGCCTGAAGCGTGAAGCAAGAGAAGAAAAATAAAAATAAAAAATGCCTCTGACTTGTGATAGCAGGTTAGTTTCAGGTCAATGGACCCATTTGATTGATTTATAGTAGTAAATGTATCTACGTGATCATGTTTTTAGTACATGGGCTTATATGACTTTTTTACAATAGTAGAGGGGCTTATGTGATCCTTTTTCCATTAATAAAATATAGTCAGAGTAGAATATGTGAATAGTGCAAAAAGTTCAATGTTGCAATTAAAAGAGAACGGAAGTAGTATTCAATTGAAGATTTGATGGTCCGTCTTGGGTGATTTGATGATTCCAGAAGAAGCCTGCGAGTCAGGTCGAAGAAAATGGATGTGGGCAATCTTGGGATTTCCAAACACAATGCTATATGATGGTAGCATCATAGGCGTTTTCCATTTTGGGTGTTTGGTTCTAAAAACCAAATCAAAATGCTATTTTACCAAACACACATGTTGGCTGTTTGATCTAGTCAAAACGCCAATAATGATCAAATCAGCCAAAAAAGGGTTGAAAAGCTCTTAACCAAACACTCTCAATACTTAAGTACATAACACCGGAAAATAAATAAAAATAACAATATGGAAAGATTAAAGAACATAGATGTCAAGATAGAGGATAAAAAACAAAGAGAGGAAACGTTTAGGGAGAAAAAGGAAAAAGATACATATGAGGCTGTTTTTATAAGATCCGTGAGTGGCATTTTTATTTACTCCGTAATATTTTTCAAAGAAAATGAAAAAATCTGGAACAAAATGTCACGATCGGGAACCAGCGAAAACAGATGACGTGCAAAAGTACAATTGTTTTTTTAGATTATGATTAATTCAGACTATATTATGAGAAGAGCGTGAAAGGTGAGATTTTATATAGTCTTTATTATATTATTCTTTATTATATTAATTTATCTATTTTTATTTTTTCTTTATAATTTTTTTCTATTATTGATTCTGTCTAAATCACTACTAAACATATAAAATTAAATACTATGTATGTTTACATGGCATATAATGACTATTATAAACATACATCATCTATAATTTATTTTATTTGTATATTTAGAAGGCATAGTTGTTGGATTTTAGGGTTTTTCATTTTAAGTTTTAATTAATGTGTTAGATATTAAGTAATTCGGTCTTTTCATTTTTGTTCTCTTCAGATCGAGTCTATTCTTATCAACTAAAAACCATCTCCAAATGTCTTTCGGTGTATACAATTATTGGAATGATTCGAGATCAGTATAGAATTATTGGAAGATGGCCGCTGATCAGCCAACTTTTAGCTAGTTTGACTAAAATCAACTTATAGAACTGGTCAAAAACTAATTTTTGGAAATTGTAAAGATGATAAAGAACTTATTAGACCGTCACAGACAATGTTCACTGTTAATATTCTTGGTTTTAGTCTTTAGAAATGAATGATGGACAATGAGAAAGTTGACAATGTATAACATGGGTTTAATGCACCAAACCCCCTGTGATTTGGAAATTCGGCGCATTAGTCCCATATGATTTAAAAAATGCGTCAAACCCCCCTGTGTTTTAATTAATCATGCACAGAACCCCCTTTATGAATAAATTTAACGATTTGAAAATCACTTTTCCTAATATTTTGATTGAATATGCAAATAAATATGTCAAAATCCCTGAATCATACAAAAATGTTAATCATTTTTCTTTTATTTGACAATTGAATTTGTTCACATAAGGGATTTGGCGCATGATTAATTAAAACACAGGGGGGTTTGACGCATTTTTTAAATCACATGGGCTAATGCGCCAAATTTCCAAATCACATGGGGTTTGGTGCATTAAACCCTGTATAACATTAATCCATGTCACTTTTTTTCCTCTCCTTTTCTTTTTAAATAAAAGCTTATGAAAATATATGCTTGTAAACATAATATTTCTATAAGTTGTTATTTTCGTCTTGTATTGCAAATGGGTATTTATCAACAGTTCCTGGTTTCTAGTATTGAAGAAATAAATACTAATGTGCAGAACATTTGAGTCGTACGTAGTAGTGAATAATTTTTTTTTTAATTTCACTTGTTCTGAAATGTATAGAAATCGATTATTTGTTGATACAACTGTCTATGAGCGTAAGAAATGATTTTAAATGAATACCTATTCCACCATTTTTACACAAATTAAAAATAATGTTATTTTGTTATTGCAATTGCTAAAGTAGTCAATTTACTACTCCATTAAAGCCAACCATGTCAGCGCGGCAACAACAGTATAAATTCAACATTCAAATCTTCAACAAGTGTCTTGCACTGAATTTAATCCAAAGCTCCAAAAATAACATGTCAAAACATTGGAATAGCAAATGCTCAACGAGTGATTGTGCATAAAAAAGTGTAGACCGTATACAACAAATGACTTCAATTACTATCTAAAGATTATGCAACTTGAGACACAATGTTAAATGATAATAATGATTTGGCCATATGGATCTTTGGAACCTGGAGCATTAATCCAATAGTGCCCTGAAACTCGAATATCACCATTCTGGCCTAGTTGATACATACATTTTATCCAAGGCTACATACCAATCTGTAGTTGTGTTTCCTCTTTTCTTTCCAATCCATCGTTCCTTAGGGAAGGATTACTAAATAAATTAGGGACGGAGAAAGCATTTCACACTGCAGGATGTGAATTAATTTTTTCCAATTTCGGGGTGAATTTTCAAATTCATTAAAGATTTTACAAAAAAAATTAGCACAGAGATATAGTCTAACAAAATCAAGTGAATGGCAGCTCCCCCCAGCTCCCTCCCTGAGGTAAATGATCCATAAAGAAAGGTACCTTGGCAGGCAATTCCTATATATGATCTCACCTCTTTGATCTTTTCTTTGCGTGTTTTGTAGCCAACGGCTCAGATTGATCCAACTCGAAATTTCGTTTACTCAATTGAGGAGTAGGAGCTGCAGCTCTCTTTGGTGGCCTATCAGAGACCTTCTTTGGAAGGCTTTTCTTTTCTTTTTCCTTGCTATCATCAACGCTGAGTGGGGTGCTCTTCAGTGCATGAATGAGTGATCCGCTGTTTGAAGAAGAGCTCTGCTTCATTCTATTTAGGAAATTGGCTGCACCTCGTTTCTTCAAGTCAGTGTTAGATTGGACAATCTTGTTATCATCGTTATTATTCTCACTTTTGGGCGGTTTATTCTCTCGCTTTCTTTGGGACTTTTCTGGAACAACTGCAGCTGATATTTTGCTAGGGTTGGTGCTGGCGAAATTATTCTCGGTTCTGGTTTCTCGCGTTCTCTTCTTAGTGATAATTGGTCTATCGTCTGGTCCAACTACCATTTGATCTTTTTTATCAACTCCAGAGGAAGATCTTGATGATTTTGGATGAACAATAGAACTACGCTTATGGCAAACAACCAATGATTTTGGATCCTCTTTAGAGGAGTGCTTAGGATTTTCTTCTTCCTTACGGAATGGTTTTAGCTTTATAATAGACTTCTGCTTTAAGGGCGGGGAATAGAGCTTGGCTCTTGACATCTCCATGGAGATGAGCTGTCGAAGCTCTATCGCTGCAGTGAATTCAGATGTATTCTTCTTCCTGAAGAAAATGATGGCGTTGTTTACTAGCACCAGTAAATCACGAAAGAATTTGGCTTTGAAATCTATGTAATGTCCTTCTTCAAGCCATGTTCGAATCATTTCAAGATCAATATGTTGTCTGATTAAAAGCTTGTAATCTTCTGTTTGCTGAAAATATTGAGTCACAAGACCGTCACAATATATCAGGCAGGCTCATACAAGACCAAGACCATTACGTAACATAATAATTTATGTTTGTAAGTTCCAAATATAAAGCAACAATATAGAAAATAGAGTTTTTTTCCATTTTCGGTCCCCCGACTATTGTGCCAGTTACACTTTTGGTACACGACTTTTAATTTATCCATTTTTGGTCTTCCACTATTGTGCTAGAGACACTTTTAGATATCGACTTCAAAGTTTTCCAAATTTAGTACTCTGAGTATTATCAATTTGACACATTTAGTCCTTCCACTATGATATTGACATAATTAGTGACGGACTAAAAATGTCACTATTATAATAGTTGAAGGATCAAAAGTGTCACTTCTATGAAAGTCGATGACTGAAAGTGGAAAAGAACAAAGTCTGGTACCAAAAGTGTCAATGACATAATAGTTGGAGGACCAAAAGTGACAAAAACTCATAGAAAATATAAGGTACTCAACTTAGATTCTAAGGCATAACAATTACTACATATAAATCTTCATAAACTTCTTTTAGTAGTAGTCAAATAAGTTCAATCAGTTTGTAAGTTTGTATCCAAATTCGTTGTAACCTACTTATCAAAATAAAAATAATCCACATATTATAAATTAAACACATACTACCTCGTCTCAATGTCTTGTTCTAATTTGACACGTTTATCAATGAACTCATTGCAAAGTTCAAGTTATGATGGGTGGCACATTGGGTAACTTATTACGTAGATCCTGCTCCGGTATTAGAGGAAAGCATCTACTGGCCAAGTAGTGCTTGGCTAATTAGGCTGAAATTTTATATTCCGATTTAATACGACTAAGTATGTTCTGGTCTAAATTGGTCTGAATATTTGTTTTATGTACTACCTCCATCTCGCTAAGATTGTCTCATTTTACCATTTCGGTCAATCCCACTAAGATTGTCTCATATCTTATTTGGTAAAGTTTGTGTGGGTCTAAATCATTCTTACTTTATTCTTACTTTATCAATTCAATATCAACCACATAAACCACTTTTTATATATTTACGTGTCACTTCCTCTTGTCCCATTGTTCATAGGAGGGGGGAGTATATATTATTACCTTTGTGCTGTTTAAAGTTTCTTATTGCAAAATGATACAGTTATTTAGACAATAATTACATAATTCGAGTATATTTTAAGAAATGATTTGGATGGATACATAATATAATGAGTTCATTGATAATAACATTAATGTTGTATATGTATGATTTTTAATACTACCTCCGTCCCATTTATTTTGTCCCGGAAGAGGGTGGCACGGTTATTAAGAAAAGTGAGTTTGTGTGGTTGATATTAATTGATAAAGTAAGAATAAATTAAGAATGATTTAGAGCCACACAAACTTTGCCAAATATGGTATGAGACAATTTAAGTGGGACTTGCCAAAAAGGTAAAACGGGACAATATAAATGGAACGGAGAGAGTTTTTGATTGCATTGTCATTTAAAAATATTAATTTTGTTTCCTACATAGAAATGAAAAAAGGAACATGCAAGAATAGAAACCGAGAACCGTTCAATGAGAGTATGAGACGAATGATGTACTTTTGTATAAGTCTAATCTACTTTATTTAAATGAGGTCTAGTCCCTAAACATTGGTGTAGTTTTTGGAAGATATATAGTTATGCATCCGTACTACTCCCTCCGTCCCACGTCCCACCATAGTTACCTCATTTTACCTTTTCTGCTCCTCTCACCAAAATCCACATCACTCTCTTTTGTCTCAGAGGAGTAGGGATGACAATTGTAATCGATCCGATAGATACTCGCACTAAACCGTCCCAGTCAAAACGGGGAAAACCGCATTGACTGGGTAACAGGCGTGGAGTGGGGAATACTCATTGAAACAATGGCACCAATATAACTTCTCAGCTTCTGTTTGATAAAAATATGACCAGTTTTAAAAAGTACCGAAAAGTGACCAGGCTTTTAACGTACCCCACCTTCCGCTTTCAACTTACGCTTTCACCTTCCTCTTCCGCCCAAACTTCCGCACAGGCTCCAAAGCTCCAGGGTTGAATACTTCCGTCATCATTGCAGAAACAATCACCAACACCAACCTCTTCTTCGTTGAAGTCGGTTGCTCCATCATTGAAAAACAATCCAGATCTGACTCCATGTGCTTCAATCGATTGCTCCTCTTTTGCGGTGGCTAGGTTACAGACTCGCGGTGGCTACGATTTAGGGTAGATGGGTGGTGAGGTCGCAATCGCTACCGTAGGGACGAAGCTTTTGCCTCTTTCGCCGCTTTCGCCATTCTTCGTCGCCATAGCCAAATCGATTTGGATCCGATTCTTCTTCATGTTTTTATCTTGCCATTCTTTTCGTTTTTTGTGCAGAGATTTGGCTTGGGGTTAGGTCGGGTGGCTGGAAGGTCGGGGAGGAGGCTGGGGGGTGGTGCAGCAGCGGTGGGGAACTGACGGTGATGTTGGGTTGTGGCAGTGTTGCAGGGGCTTGGGAGTTGTGGTGCAGGGGCTTGTGAGCGGTGGTGCAGGGGTTGAGGGACCTGTGAGCAGTGGTGTAGGGGCTGAGGGGCGTGTGAGCAGTGGTGCAGGGAGGAAATGGTGTGGCCGGAAGGGCTGATGTGGTAAATGTTGGCGGCAGAGGTCAACTGCGGCAGTAGCCAGGTGTGAGGCGGCTGAGTGCGGGTGTGGGGAGTTGGGGAGGCGGCAGTTGCGGTGGCATCGTTGTGGCAACCGATTTTGATTGAAATTTACACTTCCGGCGGGTAATATTGACATCGACGGCGGCGCAGGCGTCACTGTGACGACGTCACTGCGGCTACGTCACTAAGGCGGCGTCACTGTGGTGGTGTCACTATGGCAGTGTCACTGTGGTTGGCTGCGGTGACCGGTGGTGGCCGAGGCGGTGGCAGTGACACGAACGGTGACCACAGTGACATGGGTGGATGTCAGTGTAGCAGTGTGTATATAAGCAAGCTTGTCACTTATTAGTCACATTTCAGGAATTTTTAAAAAATGTCACTTTTTTGCCCATTGCCCTTTTATTAGTAATATTCAAGACAAAAACACATACCCGTTTTGTTTTTACGCGTAACAGGACGGTTACTGTTTTATACATATCCGCCCCGTACCCACCACTGTTTATTTCTAGTTATATTTTTATTACATTTTTATCTATTATTTGTCCCATAACTACTAAAAGATAAGATTTTTCTATTTTCATTATGTATATATGGATAATAGATGTACTAACTATAAAGTACGAGTGAAAGTTCATAATACATCTTAATAGTCTTGTTTGAATATTATCAAATTTTGTTCATGATTAATTATTTTTTTAGATTAAGTTTTTATAAGTTCAAATTGATTTAGGTTGCTTTTTTTCTCGTCTTGTAGATTTACGAAACTTTAAAGTGGCGCATGAGTCTAGAGTCAACTAGGTGATGTCACTTTTTGCCGAAGAAAATATTATTTCATATTAAAACATTAATGATTCATTTTATTAAATAGTGATTACTCGCGGTTACCCGTGATTATACCTGTCACCCGTTGGAAAATCACAGTTGGGAAACGGGACAGTTAGAGAGCGGAGGAATTATCCTAACGGGACGAGTACGATTATATGTAAAACCGTCTCTGATCCGCCCGTTGTTATTCAGAAAAGAATAAAGGCAATTCCTCACCTGGCTTTCGAGCTGGCGCGTGAACAAATAACCGTGCCTATGGCTTTCAATCTTTCGGAGAAATTTGATGAACGGCTGGTATGCAGCAGGCGTCGCTTTTGCGGTGGGAGAGCCATTCGTGTGCCCACGCTCATGGCAGCTGCGACTACGCGAATTCGCTCTGTCGGAATTATCTGTATTCCTCGATTTGCTAACTGAGCTCTGCACATCAGAGTTCTCCTTCGTACCCTCCTCCCTGCCTTTTGACTCTGCTACCGATTCGAACACGTCACCCGAGTCCGTCACCGGTTCTGCTTTCACCGCCTCCAGAACCGGATTCTCCTCCACGCTGTTGGAGCTGCAATTACATGAACCCGGTTTACCCTCTACTTCTTTGAGCGGTTCATCTTCTCCATTTCCAGTTCGTGCCGCCCCGGGGTTTTTCCGATCGTCCTTTGCGCCAATTCGATTGTTTACGTCTTTTTGGTCCGTTGAATTCGATGCATTCACTGACTGTTGGTCCTTCTCGCCGGTCAGTGGCTCTCCGGCGTTCGATTCCGGTGTGGTCACAGCGTGACCTTCGTTTTTATTCTCACTTCGGATTTCTCGATTCTCACCACTAATCACCAGATCTGAGCTCTCACCCTCCGGGAGACTCCGATCTCTCTCCTCCGTCAGCGTCCTCACCTTCGATTGCAGAGACCTAGATCACAATCAGAGATATTTCACTTTTCTTCAGCAAAACAAAGGAATCATCATTCAGATCTTCAAATTTCGATACATATTTATGCAGATGAATGTATGGGAATATGCGAATTACAGGATGGAGAGGTCATAGCGCTCAACTTCGCGTTTCAATTCAGCGACTCGGACCTTCCGCAACTCCTCTAGCAAAGGGGCAGCCGTCTCAGTTCGTTCACTATGCTCATCACCGACACCGTTGACTCCGCCGGAATAAAAACGGCGCGTGAGATGGAAGTATTTCAGTTTACAGCTTTCAGGCGACAGCGTCATCATCGGAACGGAGCTCCGTTTCTGGAGTTCGACGGCGACGCAGTCCCAATTTTTGGTGCCGTGGCGGTTGACGGCACAAGCTAACAGCAGTTCCTCCCACGTGCTCCAACGTGCCTCCTGCTCCGGCGTGTTCTCCGACGTTCGGTGCGGCTTGTCCATAAACGAGTGCCAAAGATTGCCGGATGACCCGTACTTTCTGGGTGAATACCTCCGTATAGAGCAGTCTATTTTTTAATCATTTCCGTATAAAAAATAGTCTAATTTCTCCCTACTCTTTTGTCGGGCAAAGTTGTGCTGTCTTGCTTGTAATTTGTAGCCTCACTAATTAGTTTCTGATTGATCAAAACCCAAGGCCCATTTGCCCACAATTCAGTTTGAGGTACACACTTTTCATACACACACTTGTGTTTATGTAGGGTTTTTATACAGACACAACATATTTTCGAATATTATACGTTGTGTCTGTATACGAACACAAAAAACTCTACACAGACACGAGTGTGTAAGTGTGTGTATAAAAAGTGTGTAACAATAGCATTTTTTATTTGCCAATGATGATAAAATTGCAAATAATTACTGGTATTTACTTTTGATATTCAAATTTGGGATGAACAAATGCATTCAATTTTCTTATTATTATCCCTAAAACTCTAACTGCAAAAATGAGGGTCTTTCTATGATGCCTCTATTATTTATTAGTGTATTATACATTTGCTTACCCGGCTAAATAACAACCCTACACATGAATGGAAAAAGGTTCAAATAAGCATTTCTATTATGTCTAATCCGTCACTTAAGACTTTGTACTAAAAAAAGTATCATATAAGTATGTCTACTTTACAAAATTGATCAATTTGACCATTTGATCAATTTTTGACTTCTAGTAGCAGGTTTTTAATATTTAGAAATTCAAAAAATAAATGTTAAAATTTGAAGAAATATATACAAAAATTATGAAAATTTTCAGAATATCAAAGTCAATATTTTTCATTTTTTAAATATATTTGTGTATTCTACATCTTTTAAAAGGTTTTTAAATTTTTATTTTCAATTTTTCAGTTTCACTTTATTTTTTCAGTTTTATGATTTTTTTTATTTATTTTTAATATTTTTTAAAATTTTAAAATCTATTTTTAAATTTATATTATTATTAGATTATTTATTCAAATTTATATGATTTTTTGTAAGAGTTATCAATATTCCTATTTTAATTTTAAAAAATAACCTTCTATAGCATGTCAAATGGCTTGGTTGATTGTGTGCTTATATGATACTACGTACTTTTTTTAGTACATGAGCTTAAGTGACGGATTGAAGATTAGTACAAGGACGTATTTGACCCTTTTTCCACACATGATTTAAGAAGGTTTTTTCTAAAATATTACTAGTAAAAACATTATTAACAAATTTGTGATTATAAGTTACTATAAGTAAGTTTATAGTTATTATGATATAACTTTGAATACAAGTATAGTCACTAAGGTTACTAGGATCATATTTTTGTCCAATTATACATTTAAAATTATTTCTATTCTTAAAAACTTATAATAGCCAATGAAGATTAGAGCATTTAAGGAATAAAAAATGTTGGTGTAATCATCAAGCTTAATAGGGTTGTACAATATGGTTTATCTCATGTACTGGACTTAACTTCAATTTTGATTTCCGTTTCTCATAGCTCCCGTCCGTTTTCTCTCCATCCCTCAAAGTCTGTTTACTTGCCTTACTATACTCCCTGCGATCACCCAAGCTACTCCCATCTGCGCCCTAACTAGTGATCACACCTAGGTAAACAATATGTTTTTAGAGAAGGTAAACAATATATTTGTGGCGCTAACCATGGAAAGAAAGAGCATGATGTGGAAAGAAGAACTATCATCTAACCATCCAGGTATGTTATCATTACTGGAGGCTAACAATGGCAGAAGGGTCTTGTGATCGGATAGGGTACGTTCATTTCCATCTTCTCTACTCTTCTCTTAGGAATATAAAATGTTTCTCGATTTGCGTGTATTCGTTCGTGTATTTGCCAAATTATTTAGAGAAAAGAGGCAAATAAGGCCACGTAGTAACCAGAAAAGGTCAAATAAGGCCCTATTTAAGAGGCTTTGTCCGGCTGTCGCCATTTGGGGTGGTTCCCGGTGGAATTTTTTGATGAATTTTTTTGAGCGTCTTATTCAGTAAGTCTAGTTTACTCATACCAAATTTCAGCTAAAACTTCAATCGGTAAGGCTAACAATACCAAATTTATGTGCACTCTTAAATCCTGATTCACTTATGTCTTTCACTTTGTAGAATTTTTATATTTAGGCTTTTGGCTCTTGGAGCTTTTGATTGCAAGAGGTAAAGAAAGAGCATTAGGTGTTTGTTAAATTGTCTAAACGAGATTCATCACACCAATTTATGGATGCTTTGATCATTGCCTATGCCAGATATTTATAATTACAGAAAATGTCAGTTCTTCTTTTGTTTCTTTTATTTTGAGTAGAAGATATTTGCTTCGAGTGAATCTAACAACCCACAATAACACTAATTCATTAAAATGAAAAGATAAACAACAAGTGAGGTAATTTGATAAACTCAATCTTATAGGTACCATTTTGCAGGCCTTCAATATTAGTTGTTCTAATGTAGGAGGTTTAAGTGTTAAAATTTTATTAACAGTAAGTCTATATCCTGATTACAATTCTGTGTTATTGTATATTACAGAACTTACATTATTTCAACACAATTACGATAATAATGATCCCTTTGGTAGGTTTTTCCACACCCACAATGTACCCTTAAAAGTTTTATGGATTTATACTTTAGACTTTAGTGGTGCTTAGCCAAGCTTAGAGCTTTATTTGAAAATGAAAAGCTAAATGAGGGACAAAATAACACGAATTCACTAAATTAAAAGATAAACAACCAGTTAGGGAGTTTGGTTTGTTAGGTACGTTCTTTGGTTATCAAAGTTTTTGCAGCTGTATATTTGTGAGTTTCTATTGCTATTGTTACTTGTAAGTAATATTTTAACTGGAATAGTAAGTTTACCTCGTTCTTATTTTTCTAAATTATCTGGTATAACCTATATATGATCTATAAATTCTACAATGTGCCTTTTTTCTACAGATAAATGAGCTATGAGGTTTTATTATTACTTTGTAAGGTGTTCATAATTTCACCAAAATAGGAAACATCGTTATTGGTGGACGGGTGAAAAGAGTGGGTTGTTCTCGGTTAAAAGTTACTTTAGGCAGCTGACATTTGGACTGCCGACAGGGGGTTGGAATAGCTAGGTGCATCTTTGGGAGCTTTGGGTTCCTCCAAAGTTCAAATAGTTTGCATGGCAGGTCTTGGATGACTCTATATCCTCAACGGAAAATTTAGAGAAAAAAGGCGTGATAATGCAGGGAGGTTGTAAACTTTGCGGATCCGAGGAGGAGGCACTGGATCATGCAGTCCAAACATGTGTCCATGTCCGTGAAACCTGGTAGCAGGCGTGAAGGACTAACTTAGGCATCAGGTTGAAGCACCCGACACAGAAGCATGATGCAGGTTTATCTCCATTCTATGGAGGGTTTGGAAGAGCAGTAACAGCCTGTTGTGGAAAGAACAATGGCAGGGAACGACCGGTGTGTTAAACGCCGCTGGTGGTATGCTTTCGAGCTGGATGGAGGCATAAACGAGATTACCTAAGGAAATGTTATATAATTCATAGTGATGTTTAAAAGAGTTTAAACATATGATTAATCAAGGTGTTTAGGTTTACGTGACTAATATAGTATATTATGCATGTTTTCCCCTTGAATATTATGCATGTAATTGAATAAAAATGCATATAAAAATATATGTGATGTTTTGAATAGCCAAAATGGTATAAAATGATGTTTTGAGTTTCGTAACAATCGGGCTTGAATCGGGTAATCAACGCCGTTGGATGAATAGCCCAAGCATTGACCGGCGCCGGTCAAACCTTGAACCGGCGCCGGTTAGGAGTCTGTCAGGCGGTTTACAAGGAATTTCATGGAATATTATATTTAAATGCTAAGGCCTTGATATTTGATGATTAAATGCTACGACTTGGTTTAGTCGTAAGTGATGATATGATATAGACCCTATCTAATATGATATGTGGTGGATCATAGGTTGGGTGGTGTATCCACGGACCGGGCGTGTGTCCTCAAAACTTGGTTAGGTCGGGGGAAGTACCCAGGGATCGGGGCGTGTATTCTCAAAACTCGGTTATGTAGGGTGGAGTACCCAGGGATCGGGCGTGTATCCTCAAAACTCAGTTATGTAGGGTGGAGTACCCGCGTGTGTCCTCAAAACTCGGATATTAGGGGTGAAGTACCCAGAGCCGGGCAGTGCCTAAAACTTGATATTACCGGGAGAGTGGCCCAGTGGCTGAGAAAGGCTATCAACACTCGGTTATATAATGAACCATAGGTTATAGTGGGAAAGCTAAACAATAGGTCGGTTATGGGGAAAGTCAAGGACTAAGTCTACCATTATTTTATTGATTTGATCAAATGACCTACGGATCAGATATTTTCCAAGTGTATATACTTCTATGTATTCCAAAGACTTGGGGAAGATTATAAACCTATGTATCACCCTATCTTTGGATCTTATACTTGAAACATTAGTTATTCTACATTTTGCCCGCTACTCGCTCGGTATTCGAGTACTAATCCCTTCGGGGGGCCACCACTTCAAGTTGAAGCTAAAGCTTGCCATCCGCACCTTTGCTCGGTGAGATAATCTCAAGGAAGACGTGGTTCGTGCTTTCTTTACTATTTTGAAATTATAAACTATGCTCATAGATATTTTCTAACAAATACATTGTTTTGGATCTGCAAGCCCACGTTTTGCCATATGTGGCCCATGATTGATTATTGAATATTTCCGCTACTCATTCAATTTATGCCTTTCCATCGTCTTGAGAATTGATAACTGCATATACTGCTGTTTCCACGTTCTTTGGGATGATTCCAAGGAACGTTTCTCAATGGTTGATGGGCCACATATACATCAATTGAAAGTGTATGCTTTCAATTGAATATTTATATTTAAACAGAAGCACCGTCACATTTTAAATGTTCCATGTGCTTTGCGTTTCCAAGGCCAATTACCCATCACTTTTGGGGGGGAATGTGTGTTTGACGGCTGGATACCTGATTAATCGTACACCGTCACATTTGCTCCAAAATAAAACTCCCTTTGAAATTTTATACAACACTCCGCTGTCTTTTGATAATTTTGAGGGTGTTCGGTTGCTTGTGTTATGCTCATAATCACCGGGCGAAAGGGAATAAATTTTCGAGCCACAGTCGTAAATGTGTTTTTCTTGGTTATCCTTTTGGTCAA